TACAAATAAAAAAGGAAATTTAAAGATAAAATAATAGATACAAAGTGTGTGTAAAAATTTATTAATAATACCCCTTCACTTTTTCCTGAAAAAAAATAATTCATAAGCATCTTTAGATGCTAACTATCTTCCTAACAAGTTTTAACTCCTTTAAAAAGACAAAATATCCAAAGTTGAGAAACTAACAAGACAGAGACACATTCGTTCTCCTTGGCAAAAGACAATACTTCTTTGTGTTTGCAAATTTTCCAAAATCCTTATTTCAGCAAGTTCGAAAATATCTCAATAAAAATAACGTTGTATTCATATGGTCTCGAGTCTTGGTGTTACCACATTCCCACGTTTCTTTAATTTTCAATCCTCAAACTTTGTTGTGAAAATTTTCTTTAATTACTATTTTTTATGATATATGCTAAGTTAGCATGCTAAGAGACTTGAAAGTGTCATGCGATCGAGAAACAAAAACATAGAAATACGATGCACTAAAACAAGAAAACAAGACTCATTATGATGTAGTCAAATGTATATTTTTATACTTTTCATATCCAATAACAGTTATGGAGAGCAACATTTATTTTCAGTGTTAAATTGTATGTATATAGATTGATTTAGTCTTAAACTTAGGTGCTTTATCAACATGTTTCTGTATCTATGATTGCAAACATAATCAGCCGGCAAAATTAACCCATATATTATTGGCGGTTTCTATTAATATCGGTTTGAATAGATGTTTATAGAGAAAAATGTTTTTTTTTCTATAATTAATTGAGTTAAAGTATATAGGGTGAAAAACTAAACACCAAAGATTGATATTGCTTTTTTTCATATTTTCTTATATGACATTTTTTTGTCATTCATAAATAGCAAAAGGACACTTATTTTGTTCATCAAGTGGGATTTCTATTTTTATCATTACTTTTTTACACCTAAATATAATAAACATTTAATTGACACAATACAACATCCTTAATCTATCCGGGTTATTTATCGGATCATATACCTTTTACATACATTAATTTTTCTCCTTTGTTTATAGATGTCCAAGAAACATTTTCTGTCTATTTTATATGTACCCTTTTATATAAATTAAGATGTTGTTGACATCATAGCTTAGGAACAAGATTCACAATACTAATTATATATACACACAAATGTATGATGAGATGACAGGTCTAACATTGGATTTAGATCCAAGATTCCTTGACACTGAAAGAGACGAAGATTATTTCCATACAAAAAAATTCTGTATTATGATTTCATTGTATAACAATGACCGTTAAGAATATTATGTAATACATTTTTTTTTTCTAATGCATTACCTTTAATTTAGTGGTTAGAATTTGTTTATAATATTTAGCTGTTTTTCTTCCCTTTTTAATAAGTATTATCGTTTGAAGCATTTCTATGGCAGAATAGAATATTCATTGTGGCGACTTCGTCTAAGAAAAACAAGAGGGGAAAAAGTATTAGAGTTTTATGAAAAATAAAAACTAATAATCCATTCTTAAATAATTAGACGCAATGATCAACTAAAATATAAGGTTACATTAAGCAACGTACGGGACTCATTTTAACCCATGTTTTGTTCCTTAATTTGTTTGTTCTTTCTCCCTGTCGTTAGTTGGGGTTAAAGCCGGCTATTTAATCTTCAAGCAGTTTCTTTTTAAAATACTATGCTACAATTATGATGGACTTATAGTTAACAAATATTTACTAATGTCATTCGTAAGTTATATTAATTTTAGAACTGGATCAGTGATCCAATAGACTTATATGTATTAATATTAATGATTGAATGGTAATTAAAAAGTAATCAAACTGAAGTTAATACAATAATGATATTTTAATTTCTAATTTAATGTAGTATGTCATATCTTATTAAGTAAAAATAGCATAATGTAATTGCTTTGGGATCATTATCTATTTATCTTTTCATTATGTTCTTAACTAAAGGTCTCAGAAAGGATTTTTTTACTGAAGGTGTTGAGTCAGACTTTTTGTCAAATGATTATGAAAAAAAGTTATGATACACTACAAATATAAAAAAGAATCGAGTCTAGATTTTTTTATTTATTTTTTGCTGTTCTTCTCTTGTATTAAAAATAAGCTGATGTTGGTATATTGTACTATTTTTTGATATATTTTAAAACATTAAAATTAGTATAAGTGAGTATATTTTGAAGATATAGTAAAAAGACATCACAAAAACATAGTAAAAAAATTTCGAATTTGTAAAAATGTTGTTGGTTCACATTTTTTTCTAATTTTTTCGGTCGATGCACCTTTATCACTCGGTTGGCCATGAGTCCAAAGTGACTTAGAGGTTCTCTTGCACCTGTACCGTTTGGTCGGTTATGAGCCGCCTTAACTCTGCTCAATGGTTGTCGAGAACGAAGAGAGACTTTTTCCTGCACGTTGTCTGTTCGGTCGATGCACCTTTACCATTCGGTCGACCATGAGCCCAAAGTAACTTAGAGGTTCTCTTGCACATGTATCATTCGATCAGCTATGAGCCTATAGTAACAATTTAAAATATATTAAAAAATATAATAGATTAGTATCAGTATATTTTAGAGGTTCTAACATAAAAATAATACAAAAAATTTAACAAAAAAGTTAAAATTCGTAACTCATCGTCTAGATAGCACAAATAGGCAACATCAAGAGTAACGTTTTTCTTCTTCTCAAATATGATAAGCAAAATAAATCATTATTTTAATCCTTGTACTTTTTGTGCATCATATATTTAAATACTATGAAAAGAAGTTAGAGATTAGATTAAAATATAATTTTAGTACTTTAACTTTGGAGCTCTTTTTATCTTTCAATTAATTTTTTTTTAATTTTGTAGTTTTTCAATCTTGCCTAATGGGATTTTAGTATGAGATTACTTGACAATTCGTTTACCTAGCTAAAAAGATTAAAAATAATATTTTATAAAATTAAATGATCTAAAGATAAATATTAGCTCAATTTAAAAAAAAGTTAAACTCTTAACAGCTTATTTATCATTTTTTAACAAAGAATTTATGTATTTAATCCATTTATATAATATATGCATACATTGTTTTCCTTCATATAATGTATTTCTCGCATTCAACGTACAACTGTCAAAATGGTAATCTGACTCGATCTTGCCCGACTTACCACGGGTTGGTCATTTAGTGAGCCAACCCAACCCGACTCACTTATTAGCGAACGGAAAAAATTTAAAGTCGGTCCGACCCACTGCAGGTTGGTGGATTAAACGGGTTGATTCACTCACTCATTTAATTATAAGTTTTCTTTTAATAAAAAATTACAATATTTTTTTAATTCAAATCTAAATATTTTTTTAATAAAAAAAGTATTACACAATCCAAACATAATCCAAAAACATGTACAAAAAGCAAACAAATAAGTTTTCAATATTGATAATATTAGAGTCTTGAATAGATAAATCTATAATATTTTTCTCTTTTGAAACATCTTCTTTCTATCACCATTTACAATATAATAAAAAAATGCTAACTAATAATATTGAAACACAAAAATAATAAATAATTAAATTAAATTAGATGGCTTGGTGAACCAACCCGACTCACTACAGGTTCAATCCGGTGAGTCGAGTTCTAAGTAAGTCACGTTGAAAACTCGTCCATATAAAAAAATTATATTTTTTTCAAACCCAATCCAACTCAAACTCGTAGTGAGCTGAAGGGTTACAACCCATTTTAGTAACACTAATTCAACCATTTACCACTTTTTCTGTTTTCCTCTTTAACTCCATTGCCACTACCCTTCTTTAATTCTCATCTGGGCCTCTTCGCAAGTGCATTCATCTTCTTTCTTCTGTCAAACAACTCTTTCAAAATAATCGGTTAAACTTGACAAGTTATTAATGAAATTAAATAATTAAAGTTAATAATAATTATTAATGAAGGTTTGAATCGCTGTCATTTTCTCACCAAATCCATTAAATGTTTTTAAAAAATTAAAATTTATTTGTAATGTTTTATATTTAAAGACTAGATTGATCAATAATATATAATTTGAGAAACGATGACTTTGCTAAATTTAAAAATCAATTTGATAAATAATTAGAGAGTAAATTAGAGATTTAGTCTGTAAAATAATGGTAAAACTAGTAGTTAGCATAAGTGATATAGTGAAAAAAATTGCACTAAAATGTGAGTGTAATAGTAGTGTAAGAAGCTCAAATTATATATAGTTTAAATTGAAAAGTATGTGCAATAAATCCACATCAATTTCTTCTTTTGTATTTGCTGTATTTTTACTACTGAAATAATATTTATCGTTCCTCTTCCTTTGAGGTAGAAGTGGATACATATTAAGTTTTCATTCGCAAAAAATCATATTTAAAGTACTTCACCAATGCTTTTCCATAGCAACTTAAGCAAAAATATGCTTCTGCTTTATGTTTCAACACAATTCATATTATTTGTCAGTCACCCTTTTGTTAGAGGAAACTCCTGACAACTTTTTTCTGCCATGTTTGAATCAGGATTCATTCAAAGGATTCAACGAGTTTGAAAATCAAACCTTTCTGTAAGCAGAGCCATCCCATCTATGAAGAATGGTGTTTTGTATGACGCAGATTGAGAAAATCGATAACCCTGAAGTTCTGAACCGGTGGAAGTTGAGAATAACTTGGACACCCGCACATAGAAAACTTTGTTTCAATTCACACTACAGTAAATATACAATCATAAAAAAAAAATATTGTTAATACTATGTTACCCGTGTACATATCACAGTGTTATGCCTAAATGGGACAACATAGAAAGCGACGAAATGGATAATGCAATTTAATTAGGGAATAGAGAATGGTGTGGCGACCAATCACGAAATTCCCAAAGGCTTGGAGAAACGATGTTTCCGAGAAATCTAATTGATATACGCTTTCTCTGCTGATCAGTTTCAATGTAGTATCTAATGAAGAGAACATAGAAGTTCACGTCTACTAGGAACTAACGTACGAGTGTGTAGTATATATAGCCATGAGTTGAATGGAGGTTCTCTCAGTGCGTTATTGAATATCTTTAGAAAAGAAAAAGGTTGCATAAATGGCCCCTCCTCAGTTTGGTGCCTTGAACGGAGAAATCGATGGTGAAAATCTATCGTACGTGTTTGATATATGGGCAACCGATCAATATAGCTGTTTTCCTCTTCAACCTATTTCGGAGAGTAACAGTTGTACCTTAGTTCTCCCCTATTGTGACGGAAGCATAAGGGATAACAAAAGGGTGAAGAGAACGGTGGGAATCCCCGTTGACTGGTTAGGGAATTTGATGAGCAATTCCCACAGTTTCCTCAACACCAACGCCAACAACTGCAATAGGAGTAGGGATAGCATACCAAAGCTTCATTTCAGAGATCACATACGGACTTACACACAAAGATATCTGGCAGCGGAAGCAGAAGAAGAGGCACCAGACGACATAAATAGTTCAGAAAGTGATGGAGCTGAAGAAGACGGTTGTCATGACGGTGTGAGGCTGGTTCAACTTCTAATAGCATGTGCAGAAGCAGTGGCTTGTCGAGACAAATCGCACGCTTCAATATTACTATCAGAACTCAAAGCCAACGCTTTAGTATTCGGATCTTCGTTCCAAAGAGTTGCCTCTTGTTTTGTTCAAGGCCTAATTGAGAGGCTGAATCTGATTCAGCCCACCGGGCCAGTGAGCCCGATGCCACCTATGATGAACATTATGGACACAGCCTCCGAAGAAATGGAGGAAGCATTCAGATTGGTTTACGAGCTGTGTCCACACATCCAGTTCGGACACTTTGTCACTAATTCTATAGTGATGGAAGCCTTTTCGGGTGAGAGTTTTGTCCATGTAGTGGATTTCGGGATGACTCTCGGTTTACGACACGGACACCAATGGAGAGAACTGATGCGGAGCCTCGCCAATGGCGGCAGCGAACGTCTTCGTCGGCTGCGAATCACGGCGGTGGGACTCTGCGACAGACTTCAATCCATCGGCGACGAACTCTCGGTTTATGCAACTAATTTGGGTATCAATTTTGAATTCTCAGTGGTGAAAAAGAATTTGGAAAGTTTGAAACCGGAGGACATAGAAGTGAGGGAAGAAGAAGTTCTTGCGGTGAACAGCATTCTGCAGCTGCACTGCGTGGTGAAGGAAAGCCGAGGGGCTTTGAATTCAGTGCTGCAGATGGTTCATGGGCTTGGGCCGAAAGTGTTGGTGATGGTGGAGCAGGATTCGAGTCATAACGGACCCTTTTTTCTCGGGAGATTTATGGAATCATTGCACTATTATTCTGCCATATTCGACTCGTTGGATGTCATGTTGCCCAAATATGACACTAAGAGAGCGAAGATGGAGCAGTTTTACTTCGCTGAGGAGATAAAGAACATAGTGAGCCGTGAGGGGCCGTTGAGGATGGAGAGACACGAGAGAGTGGATCAGTGGCGGAGGAGGATGAGCAGGGCGGGGTTTCAGGCTGCGCCGATTAAGATGGTGTCTCAGGCGAAGCAATGGCTTCTGAATGGGAAGGTCTGTGAGGGGTACACGGTGGTGGAAGAGAAAGGGTGTTTGGTTCTTGGATGGAAATCCAAGCCTATTGTGGCGGTTTCTTGCTGGAAATGCTGAGCTCAAGAAAGTTTGAAGTTTCTTCCTTGTCAATAAATAACAGTTTCTATGGAGCTGTTGTGTCATTCAATAATGTCTTTTCACATGCATCTTGTGAATTAGACACACAATAATTTTTCTTTTTCAGTAATTATGTGTTCTTGTTGCCCGGGATCGAACACATGAAAATTAAACAACTTCGTGTTGGTCAGCTTGTTCCACTGTTTTCTTTCTTTCTATCATCAATCATCCTGCTTACTGATAATGCGATTTAACAACAAATATCCATTGCTTCGTATTAAAGGAAAATCTGGTGGAATTAATAGATTAAGAAAAGCACAAAAAGATAGAAAAATCTAACAAGTTTTCTTACTAATATCACAGCTGAAATCCACGAAGAAGGCAAAAGAAAACCTAACAGATTGCAGAAATGATGAGCAGAGAAACGTGATCAGCGAAGAAGAAGAAAACAGAAAACATGGAGAAGGAAGAAACAGGAAAGAGAAATCTTTTATTTCTACATATGTCAAAAATACACTAGAGGAACTAATAAAAACCGGAACCAACACAAGAAAAACAGGGACATTAAATCAGAAATAAACTCATGAGAAGCGCTAAGCGAAAATTGCACGCTTGAGCGGGCGAAACATAAACAAAAGATTCAAAACTAAAAAGCTTCAAATAACGATTTTATCACTTCTTGTCTCTTTTTATAAAAAAAAAAAAAAAAAAAAAACTATCTTGCAAGCTTATTGAAAGTTGTTAGATTCTCAATTAGAAACTAAGAGATGTAGCTCATAACTTAAAAATAAAAATAAAAAACTATTGAAATAAATTATTTTGACATACTTATTATTACATATTTTTTATATTGATCAAAGTAATTTATTAATTAGTGAAATAAATTAGTAACTAATCTATTAGTCTCATTAAATACATTTTATAATATTTTTGTTAAAATTTCATAAGTTCATTATATGAAAAATATTTTAATATAAATTTCACAAGTTTTGAGAAAGAGTTGTTTATATAAATTATTTTTTTTACTTTTAAATAAATCATATTTGTGAAAGTCCAATTAATTTATTAATTTTATTAATAAATAATCTACATAGTGATAACTGCCATTTATATATCCCTTATTACTTAAACTAGGGAATTTACTTTCTAATTTCTTCTGAAATGCAAAGATGGCTTGTTGTCTCCCTTAAAAAACCGGGCTCTTAATGCAAGTTTCATGTTTTTAATTACTAAAACTGAAAACATATTGTAGAGAGAAAGACTCATTATAAATTATTATCTTAATAAATAAAAAAAAAGAGACTCATTAGCATATTTAGTTCATCGAAGGCTTCTAAGTACACAACTTACTATGTTCTCATCTTGGGTTGGGAAAACTAATATAACCATGTGAATTATTACGGTATACGTTTTCAAAGTTACAAAATTAATTATTATTTTAAATTTTTTAATATAATTAGGTAGGTCAAAATTAATTTACATATACATGTATATTATTATTGGACGATTAAAATCCATTTCATCAAAATCAATTCTATCAATTAAATTATACAAGCAAGATAGATATCTCACCTCTTTTGGTTGACAGGTCACCACTTTTCGAACGCAAAACTGCCGATAAAGAATACAATAGAATGAGTTAGAAAAATGTTTATAATTTTTATCTATCAACTTTTGAACTAATTCATCCAATAAGCACCATAATTTTTAAATTTATAAAAAAACTTAAAAACGATTATTTCCTTGTGATAAACAACTATTTAGGCCACGACAATTAGAAAAGAGGTTATATATATAATAATGATGAGGTGGGTGTAAATTTGATCATATAAATTTTTATGTTCATTTTGTCAAATTTGTTAAAAGTTTAAGTATGAGTTTAAATTCACTCAAAACAAATAAGTATGAGTAAATTCATTTTGTCAAATTTATAAATTTTAAGTTGAATGTGGTGATATAATCGTTATATGAATTTATTTTAGTTCATGGGTGAATCTCTACAATTTATCTCTCTAGATAAATATCAATAAAATGTGTTTCTCATTCTTATTTTCGTTCGGTAACCAATATACTCATATCACGTTCATACTTATTCCCACATTGGTCAACTAATCAATTAATTTTTTACAAAAGAAATCAAAACAAAGAAGATATGATTTGAATTTGTTTTGTTGTGTGTGATTGTGATATCTACTATATATTATTTTGTCTCTATGTGTTTGCAATTACTTTGATTCGTTTGTACTAAAAACAAATTTGCATATCCAATGAATGATTCATATTTTGCATAATCCCTTGTTACTTGTTTATTTTTGCTAAAGTTGTTCTCATTATAAAAGAGGTAGAGATTGTCTAATGAATGTAGCTTGTTGTGCTCTAATTACTTGTTTGTTTTGCTATTTTGTTTTCATAATAAGAAATGAGGAGATTGTTGAGACTTAGATCTATACAAGTTTTGATGAACATATCTTCTTCTCTTTAATATCAAAGTTTAGGCAAGAAATATAATTTCATCAATCTTAAAATAAAGTATTGAATAACAATTGCATAAATATCAAATAATTATATAAAAGAGTAACAATTAAATATATTTTAAATTCCATTCAACTACTACCTCTATTATTTTTGCAACTGTCGGCTTAGGAAGGATTAGAGTAAACTTGGTAGATGTCAGATGAGTTGAACCGTTGAAATGATGAAAATTTGTATGGCGGAAATGGAACAAAACCAAGAACCAAAGAGAAATTAGAAAATGAGTTCTTTATGGCAGCTAATAAACTAAAAACTTACACGTTTGAATACTCAAAATTGATAATGAAACATTCTGATGTTAAAAATTAACAACAAATAAAAATATAAAAATAAGTACAAATGATTAAATTTATGTCTTAAGATATAATTCAATAATTAGAGTTTACATATTGTGAAATACAATACACTATTATGAAACAACATAGAAAAAATTGTAATTAAGATTGTGGTAACGAAAAAACATCTTCGTGATTTTAGTAACTTTGATGGATATCAAATTATTCAAATAATTGAAAAAAATAGTAGAAAAACTATTTAAAAAAAAAGAAATTATACCGAAATGAAAATATTTAATAATTTTAAAACAAAAAATAAAGACATTATGAAATATATATATGAGATATATATATATAGATCCATTTGAAAAAAATTGAATATCAAACTTACGTTAATGTGTATGCCTTTAATACGAAAAAGTTCATTAAAATCAGGAATAGAGATAGATTTATTTCTCATCCCTAGATAGGATAAGATTGTTATAATTATTTAATTGATATAACATAGAAGGCAATATATATAAAATATTAATTAATTTTAAACAATAAATAGGAGTTATTAAATATATTATATATATATATATATAAAGTTTTCGTTTTAGCATAATAAAAATATTTTTTTAAAATTTCAAAGGAAACAATTTTTACTATCTTATCCATATAGTAGTGTCAAAACACCTTTAAAATTGTAGAAAAGACAGACCCTAGTTATATGTCGCAACTTATTGTATGAATGAATAATTGATATCTTGAAAATGTGGAGAAATATGTACGGAAGGATGACAGATTAAAAAAAATTGGAAAGAAAAAGTTATTGGTACGATAAGCCACGTTATAGGAAAAAATATAAAGAAAATAAATATGTAGTATAATGATAATTTTCCCTTTCATAGTATATATGACTATCACCGTCATGGTTTCACTATGGGACGATATCTTCCCTTTCTCTCATTCTGAAGCTACTGCTAAAGCTGGAAAGAGATACTATTCAATTAGTTAGTTTTCGTAAAAAGTTGGTGAACACTGATCAGTTTTGAGCAATGTAACTCATCAAGTGTGTGTATGCATGGTTTCTATAATTGTCAAGGAAAAGGGATTTCAGAGGAAACTTACGATTTTTGCTGATGCTCACTCACAAAATAGGCATATTTTCATATGGCACAAGCATAGAAAACTAGACCAATCTTCACCACCAAACTCACCCTAAAAGGAAATATCCGCAGCCATTGTTGCGAAAGATTTTCACTGGAGAGAACCTCCGTAGTAATGGCAACTTATATAGAAATCCAAATAATATTAAATATCTAGCGTTGATGTTGTGTGTCCTGGAAAGAACAAGGTAGAAAACAACTAAACAGACAATTGATTTTGTTGAATGACGGAATATATTGTTGTGGCGACCAATCAGTTTAAACAGTTCCAAATAGCTTGTAGTTATTCCAGTTAAATGCTTTGTGTAATCCGTTCATGAAATTCCAAATTTGCATAAAACAATGCTTAGGTGATATCTACGTTTCGGCGCAATGAAATTGTAGCATAGAATTTGACGTCTACTAGGAAACTAACACGCTATTGTCGTGTCACTTGACTTATATATATGGTCCTTTTTTCTTTGAAAGAAAAATCTTTGGAAAGAAGAAAAGAAGCAAAAGCAGGTTTATAAACTCTGCCCAGATTGGAAGCCTTTGAGGGAGTGATTCAATCACTGATCCAAATCAATTTACGCAGATAACTAGTTCGTTAATTTTGGAGTTCCCGGTGGCGAGAGAAGAACTTGGAAAATTTGCAACTAGATGCGTCAGGAAAGCTTCTTTGTACTCTCTCGCTGTTTTTCTTTTTCTTCATTTACACTCATACTTCATTTTTGTTTTATATACTATACATACTCAAGCAAGTAGTCTTTTAGTGCTCTACTTCTAAATTATAAATTTAAAACTATTTTTAATTCTCATTTTATGTTAATTCAATATTTATAATCATTTCTATTTTTTATTTTGTAATTTTCATACTATTTTATCCTAAGAATTCTAAAAGGTCAAAATTATTTACTACTATAGTTGTGATAAGAATTTCTCTTAATTAGTTTTTTTTAATGTTCTTTTTTATTAAGATGCTTACTATTAAATTCAGATCATATACACACTAAGTAAATGAGATTCTTTTTATTATGCAGTTAAACGTAATTGTATTGATTGACTCATTTTTGGAGTCTAACGGTACAGTTAGTTTAATTAAACATTTTTTATTTTAACCGATTTAAATTTAATTAAGTTGAGTGTTGTAAGCCGTGAATATTTGATTTTTTCCTTATTCTCCATTCTCTTTCTCAACTCTAATTTTCTTTTTATGTTTTGACTTTCATGTTAAAGTTTGGAGACAATGG